TGGATTGGAGTACAGAATACAGAGCCAATGAGCTAGATGAACGTATTGAAGCATAGATGTATCTTAAAATAGCATAGGATTAAAAATCAGAATAAAGTTTATATTGAAATACCATATATGTAAATAAAAACACACAGAGAACATTGCCTATTTTAAAATAAGTGAGGCTTATAAGAAATATTTGATGGTACTGCATCAAATTAAAAAGCTTCCAGCTCAGCAGGTAAAGGTGCCTGTCTGATGACCTGAGTTTGATCCCTGGGACCCATATGGTGGAAGAAGATAATCATCTCCTACAAGCTGTCCTTGAACCTCCATATGCATACAATGGTACATGTTTGCTTACACACACATACACACAACATATGTCAAAAAACAAAAAAGTTGCCAGGCGTGATGGTGCACATCTTTAGTCCCAGCACTCGGGAGGCAGAGGCAGGCGAATCTCTGAGAGTTCAAGGCCAACCTGGTCTACATAGTGAGTTCCAGGACAGCTGGGGCTACAGGGAGACCCTGTCTCAAAAAGACCAAAAAAAAAAAAAAAAAGTTTCTACACAGTGGCACTAACAGAGTGAAATACAACGTATAGGGTGGGAGAGAATCTTTGTCAGATATTACTTTCAACAAAGGAATAGTATCCATAATACACACAGAACTTAAATCTTAACACAAAAATAAATAAGCCAATCATTAATGTACAAATGAACTGAAGACACCAATAAGTATGTGAAAAAAACATTAAACATTTTAACTATCAGGCAAATGTAAATCAAAACTTCATTGAGATTTTTATCTTGCTTTAGTCAGAATGGCTATCATCAAACAAACAAAAAAATAAATAAATGCTGGAGAGGATTCAAGAGAAAGAATCCTTGTACATTGTTAATAGAATGTAAATTGGTGTGGTCACTATGGAAATCAGTATGAAGACTCATCAAAAGACTAGGTAAGATCTACCATATGACCCAGCTATACCACTTCAAGGCTGCATCTGATAGAGATATCTGCATAGTCATGGTTATTGGGGACACCATGCATGATAGCCCATTTATGTAATAAGATCAGGTGCTCACCAGTGGAAGAAAACGTGGTGTATAGATGTAACGGACTACTATTTCAGTAATAAAGAACAAAATCATACATTTACAGGAAAATGGGTACAATTCTTATGTTATTGTGTTAAATGAAATAAACCAGGCTCAGAAAAGCAAGCATTGCATGTTTTTTTCTCATATGTGGAATCTAGGACAGGGAGGAGATGAGATGACACGAAAGCAGAAAGATTAGTTAGGAGGAAAAGGATGAGTGGGGAGAGGGGAGACTAAGGCAGAGTAATAGGGGATGAACAGGTATGTTATATGTATGTATGAAAATACCACAATTAAACACATTATTGTGTGTAATTAATATGCTCCAATAAGAAACACTGATCTTGTCTATGATTGGGCTTTGTAACCAATGATGTTAATGTGCTCAGATCTAAGAACATTATCATCTTTTTAGAAAAGGGGCAGAGACTGTTCTCCCACACAAACAACTGATCAGCTCTCCAGTGAGTTAAGACTGCCACTCTTGCTTAAACTTACTTTCCTTGGACTGCTGCCCTTGAGCTAAATACAAATATAACCAGAATGGGAAACTGAGGAAGCAGAAATTATCTGAAACAGAGGAAGGTCTGTTTGCAATTCCAGTTTGACTGCCTTTCAGGAAAATCTTGTCCATTAACTATGTACCAACAAAACACAGCCAAAGGCAAACTCTTTTAGGCAGAAACATTAGAAATGACATTCTATTGATCTAATTAAAACTGTGACAGGAACAGCTCTTAACTTTTAATTGTATCTTAATATATTCATTTTACTGGATTTGAATATTCATTGCTAGACATTAATTAATAGGAGGGCTCTGATGATGACTTTGTCAGTACCACATAATTATTCCTTTTCCTGCCTGAGTAAACCTTCAATTGTGTTGCATTTATGATATTTTTATGATACAAAAAATTCAAGCATGGGACTGTGAAATTTTACAGACAGTCTAATGAAATCATTAGCTGGGAAGTAGTCATTTGTATAAGAATCAAGTAACTATCTACAAGAACATAAAAATCAAATTAGCACTAACATCTCCAGACTTTCAATTCTTTGGACTCATGCTTAAAGGAATACTGAAGCAAAACTGTAATTACTTACCATCACACTACTTGCTCCTTAATAATAATGGGTTCTTTTGAGAAATAAATTTAACAGCCTATCCAAAGGTTTTAACTAAATTATAACACAATTCAAGATTTTATTTGAGTCTGCAAAATTAAAAACAACTGGATTTTGGTTCTGAAGTTCAAACAGTGATATCTCTATACCTAAGCAGGTTTAAATTTATATGGATCAGTGTTTGTCTAGGAGTATCTACACAGATGAATGAAATGAAGTCGTTCATTTTGGATCACTACTTTACTACTGATTTTAGTTCCATTGTTTTTTAGTACAGGCACATCAAACAGTAGCTTAAAGCAACTTAAAGTGAGAAAGGGGGATTGTTCAAAAATGGTTCCAATGGTCTTAACTCTAAACATCTTTTGCTTTAAACAACATCCAGACTATCTGAACAAACAGGCAATTCTTTTAAAAATTACTGTGGCACAAAGGATTTGATTTGGCAAATCACCAAAGACTACTACTCTATACCTGGACAGCAATGCTAACACAACTACTACTGGCAAAGCCCTTGAGCTTTACCTAGAAATAAAAGAGCATTTGTGGGGCTGTGGGGGGGGTTAGGACTGGGGAGATGCCTCAAGAGGAAAAGTGCTTGCTGTGCAATATGAGGACCTGAGTTCAAGGTCCCGAACCTGTGTAAAAAGCCCAGGAGGTGATACTTGCTTATAATCCCAGGGCTGGGTATGGAAATTGAAAAAAAAAAGGGGGGGGGGGGGGGGGGGGGGGTTGGTGAGCCAGTCTAGCATCATCCCAGAGCCTCTGGTTTCAATGACAGACTGTCTCAGAAAACAAGGCCGTCAGCTTCTGAGGAATGATACACACACACACACACACACACACACACAGAGTGAGTGTGAGAGAGAGAGAGAGAGAGAGAGAGAGAGAGAGAGGAGAATTATTTTTATACAGTATTTTTAAAATGTGAGTTACTAAGTTTAGGAAAATCACAACAAATATCTATACTTCAAAAATATACAAAACAATATATTTTGAAAATCTCTATACTTTTATCCCCAAACACTGTATTCCCCTCAAATGGGAAACTTGATGTATTAACAAATAATTCATCTAACTGATCCATGATACAATTTCCTTAAAGTTTAGAAATCAAAACTATTATCTTCTATTTAGTCTTTACCTTCTAAAAAGACAATTTCTTCGAGTATAGGGGTTTTGTTCAACTAAATTTTCAGATATGATAACAATAAAAGTATAAATACGAATCTTTTTTTTCTGGCATTAGTTTACACCCTAAGCCTCAATTACTTTCAATGTTTTTGATTGGTTAATTTCTGTTATGTAAATGAATGTTTTGCCTGCATGTGTCAAGTGCATCTGTGCCACGCAATGGCCATGGAGGACAAAAGAGGGCGCTGGAGACGGAACTAGAGTTACAGCCATTTGTTAGGGGCTATGTGGGTGCTGGGAACAGAACCAGGTCTTGCAAGAGTGGACAGTGCTCTCAGCAGCTGATCCAGCCCTCCACAAGTATTTTAATTGGTTTATTTTTTATATTGCTGACAGAAGGAAACAATATTCTGTGAAATGAAAACATACACAGAAAATTAATTCTGTTTTATGAGTTTGCTTAAAGCCAGTATTACAGACAGCAAAGCTAACTGAACGCTTGAAAATACGTAAGATTCTTAAGTTGTTAAATGCAAGCATATCTAGAATCTGAACTTTTTTCTTGAGAACGCAGTTTAAAGCTAGTCTGAGTGAGGCAGCCATCTGGTGATAGAAAACAGCATTACAGACACTATTTTGCCAAAAGACTTGAACTTCTGAACATAAACCCACAGAACTGCAAAAATTGAATTCAGTGCTGTCCAAATACAAGACACACAAGCAATTACACAATTTTCTGATGGCTACATTTTCAAAATGCAATGTTATTTAACCAAATACTCCAACATGTTACAAATGATACAAATAGCGAAATAGTTCCTATTTTTTTTCATAACTAAGTGTTTAAAGTACGATGTGTATTTTACTGCATTCCTCAGTTCGGACTAGCCACATTTTAAAGGCACCCGGCTACACAGGGCCCTGGTTAGGGGCTTGATAAAGGGGTCTGCGCGGATCTTGAGAAAGTAGAGTCACTTTAGGTTGGCTTTCTAAATTCACTGATTTCTCAGCCAGTCTTTCCCTTTCCCCCATTACTTTCTACTTTGTTTTGTAAACAACTTGCCCCCTGAGCATTTTGACAAACTTAAAAAGCACTCAAAAGCCTTCCGGAAAATACCTAGAAGACCCACGGGGGGTCGATCTCCTGGGGCACCGAGGCAGTCCCCAGCCTGGCCGACCTTGTTCTTGGCTAGCTGCCAAGAGGTGATTTTCACACACGGCTGGAGGAAGGCGGGTCGCCTTGTGACATCACAGCTCCATGCCTTGAGGGTTCGAGTCCAGAAGGACTCCTGATTTCCAGGCCCCAGGGGCTAAAAACGTTCACCGTGAACAGGCCAGGACCAGGTCCCCGCCACCTGGCCCACGCACTGTTACTCTTCGGTCCTCGGAGGCAGCCACCGAAAGAATGCGCACAGGGACTAACCTTACCCTCCAGGCACAGGCTACCACTATTTCCCAGGAGCACTAGAGAGGTCTTCCCTGCCTCTGCTGATTGGTTGGAGTTTACCGCCACGTGATGCAGATGGGGCTTGGAGGCTTCTTTCCCCGCCCTCTTCATCCTCTTGGAGACTCTGAGGTCGCAGGAGGCGGAGAGTGAGTTTCCTAGGCAACCGCTGAGTGTGGCGTGTACACATCACAGCCCAGGCTATACAGGGTTTCTGTCAGCTGCAGCCACCCAGGGATCCCGAGATCCGAGTTCACTCTGACCTGTCTCGGGCTGCCCGGAATCCATCCTCTCTCTAAGATAAGGTGAGTATCCGTCCTTGGTGGCCTCAGGCGTGCCTCACCTATAAGGCAGGACCGGGAGTCTGCTGGACTTCTCTCCTCAGCCTCACGTGTGGTAATCCACAATCCACGAGCAACGCAGAGGTCGAAGGACCTCCTTCGTGGAGCAATGGAGAGTTAATAATAATGAGATGATGATGATGATGATGATGATGATGATGATGATGATGATGATTTAAAAGTCATCAGAGTGACCTTGGCAAAACCAGGAAGAAAAGAAAGGTATCCCAGTGGACTGGACTGGAAAAACAAGGGCTCACTGGTTAGCCTCATCTCACTCATGAGCTAGAAGGGCATTTATTTGGCCCATCCATGATAACTGATGGATTCTAACCCCTTTACTCTCAGTTGAGAAAATAGTTGGACCACATAGGACTTCTGCTTTGCAGAAAAGAAATGTGGTTTCTTTAGAATGGAGCCTTACTCAACTCTCCTGGCAGACAGAAACGTAGTCCTTTATAGTCCAACTGATACTATGTTCTGAATGGTCACGCACAACACTATTTAAAGTTATACTGTACAAGACCTGTGGCCTGACAAGTAATTCAAACCATTTGATAAATTACATTGAACACCTAGCATGTGTCAGGCATAGTTCTGTCCTCAGTGATAATGTAACTGGTTGGTAGGAATGAAAGATCTGCAAACATCACAATATAGTGTGACAGGTGCTGTACACAGAGTGTGTGCTAGCCTGACCTAGTCACAAGGAGAATGCTTACAATAAAACCAAAGAGAATTGAAGTCTTCAGAGAAGACTCTTTACTTAAGTCTTTAAGGATGGAATACAAAATCAAGGAGAAAATAAGTTTTTAATATAATTTAAAAAATTTTTTTAGTTCATACATGAATACTATATTTACATCATTGAGAAAAGACATTTTTAATATTTTTGATTCTTTGAGAAATTCATACAACGCATTTTGATCACATTCAAATCCTCCTCCCCTATTCTCTGCTCCCACCTTACTAACCCCCCAACTTCATGTCCTCTATTATTTTTGAAGGCCTATTGAATCTAATTTGTATTCCCCAAATATTCTTTGGTATGGGTCCAGCCCCTTGAGCCTCATCAACCTACCTGGCATCACACTCTTAAAGAAAGGTATTTTAAGGAGAGGAAACAGGACTAGAGTTGAGGCCAGTCCTGGAATGTTCTGTGGTTGTTGTGGTTGACTGGGAGCTTGAGAGATTGGCAGGAATCTGAATATAGTGACCACAAATACCTTCCAAGGGGAGTGGCATAAGCAAATGTGCCTGTCAAGAGGCTGGTTGTGCCCAAGGGTGTGGGAGATGGAGTCAATGGAGGCGAAACAACAGGAAGGGCATCTAGTGAAGGGAAGGGGATGAAGGCAGGGGCAGTTGGAATGGGAACAGGGAGTGAAAATAAGATATACTTTATATGTCCATATATGAAAGAGGACTTAGTGGGTAGTGAACCTGGGGAAAGTCTCAGATTTCAGATTTGTATGACAGTGACAGTGCTGTCCTTCACAAGAAAGCATTCGTTATGGAAGAGCATGTGTTCTGTTTCAGACAAACTGAATTTGAGATGCCTGTGACACATCCACAAGGAGCTTTCCATATAGGCATTTGGTTTTGTTGCACAGGAGAAAGGACAATAAAGACAAGTAGTTTTTCACAAGGAAGGAAGCTGTTACTTTGAAACAAGTAAAGGCCCAGGGAGATAGCTTAGTCAGTAAAGTGTTTGCCTTGCAAGTAAGGACTGGAGTTCAATCTCCAGAACTCATGTAAATAAAGCTAAGTGTGGTGGCACATACTTGTAATCCCAGTACTGGGGAGGTAGAGACAGCAGATCCCTGGGGCACCTTGGCCAGCCAGCCTAGTCTAATAGGTGAGTTCTGGGCAAAATGGGAAGCCATAATTTTTTTTAAAAAAATCAAGGTGGACAGCATCTGGGGGACAACCCTTGAGGTTGTCCTCTGGCCTCTACACACATGTGAGTGCATACCTGCACACACATGTGCACACTCCCCCACACACACAAATAAATAGCAGGTAGAGAGAAAGCAAAGAGGAAAAACAAACCAAAGAAGAAAACTCATCATCATTGCCACATGTCATGTCAAGGTCAAGTTGAAAGCTGGAACATGTCCAGTGTCTTTGGCAATTTGAAAGTTATTGTAGAACTTGTTTAATAATTAAAAGAAACTGTAGTAGTGTGAGGTTTTTTTTCCCTTCAGATTACAGTGGATTGAGGACTGAATAGCTGAAGTGAAGTGTTGCTGATAATCTAGAAGGTTCTCTGTGAAAGCGTCAAAAGTAGCTATTAGGGGCTGGAGAGATGGCTTAGTAGTCAAGAGCACTGGTTGCTCCTCCAAAGGACCTGGATTTGGATTCCAGCAAACTGGTGGCTAACTGTCCTAACTCTAGTTCCAGGGGATCTGTCCCCGACCGCTTTCCGTCTCGCCGGCAAGAACGACGCGGGAGGACAAGTCAGGATCCTTCTGCAGCAGTTTATTGTATGCGCATCTTACACTCTTAGAAGCTTAAAGACCGAAGACGCCGAGAAGCGGGAGAGCGGTTGCTTATATAGTCTAAAGGTCCCATCTATGACGTATAAGAAGCGGATTGGTTGCTGGAGATCACGCCACGGGAGGAGGCGAGGGAGAGCAGGCTCTTGTGCACGCCCCTTATGGGCGCAGCAGGATGTTTACTGTTAAGAAGGTCCGGATACCGGCGCCATCTTGTAATGGCGGCGGAGGCTGTGGCTCTCCACACGGGAGGTTACTTTAGAAAATACAAAGGGATGAAGATTAGCAAATTGGATTAAAGGGTTAGGTGAGTAATGATTATCTATATTACCAGCGAAGGAAGCAAGGGCAATAGGCCACTCATCAGTGGTTTGAAGGAGCCAGTCTAGTTGCTCCCGTCCATAGGGTATTATAAATGAATTGGGATCTTTGCCAAAATATTGGCGGCTAAGTATTCTAGCCTTTATGATTAACTGAGCTATGAGGAATGGGTAAGTAGCAAGAACCTTTCTAGGAGAAGCAGGCAAATATACCCAGAGTAGGGGGAAACCACGTTTTTGAGTGGGAGAATTTTGCCAAAATATACCAGTGGGGGCATGGCTAGTAATGTGAGTAATAAAAAGCAGAGGTAGGGAATAGTCAATTTGCCAAGCTGACTGTTTATTAATAGCTGTATCAACAGAATCAAGTGCATACTGTGCTTCTTTTGTTAAAGTTCTAGGTGATAAGGGGTTTGGGTCTCCATTTAGGATGTCATTAAGAGGAAGTAAAACGTCAGGGGGCAGGCCAAGATAAGGCCTCAGCCATTGAATATCTCCAAGGAGTTTTTGAAAGTCGTTTAGAGTTTTTAATTGAGAAGTCCGCAATTGAATGCGAGGTGTCAGAACTTTAGTATGGTGTAGCTCATAA